CTCCGGTTCCTGCACTTGGGAAACATCCTCCCGCCATCCCTTCCTACCGCGCCGGCGTTCCCCGGGAATCCAGCGCCGCTGCGCAACCTGGGAGGCAGGAAGAAGCAGTTCTTTCTCCAACCGTCTCCGGAAAGTGGTGTCAAGGGAAGGCGCCAAGACTACTTCCCGCCATTGGGCTACAACACCCAGGATGGTTCGCTATTCTACCTATGCGTGATTGGACCGTGCCGTCTCCTGCTGCGCAAGCGCAAAGGGATATGCTCTTTGAGGACTCCATTGCCCAGAGTGCATTGCCTTTAGGAGCGCTTTTCTTTCCGTCGAGGGTCGTCAAATTCTCTAGGGGTCTGCAGGGTCCTCAGACTCCGTTACCCAGCGTCCTTTGTGGGAAGACTGTTGCGCACTTCCGGCAGAAGCGCCGGGGTGAGGGGGCGGGGTTTACGGAGCCGGTGGGCGGTAGGCGGTGCTGCCGGTTTCTGGGTGCTGTTCAAAGGCGGCGGAGCTTCGTTAGGAGAGCCAAGTGTGATCTTTGGGGCCGTACTTAGCGTGGGACGAATCTTGTGCTACTGTTTGACGACGTGCGACCTTCCCTTGATGTCGGCCCTCGAGAAGAGCATGCACCTCGGCCGCCTGCCCTCTCGCCCCCCTCTCCCTGGCAGCGGGGGCAGTCAGAGCGGAGCCAAGATGCGAATGGGGTACGTGACTCCTACCTCTTCTCCCTGGAGGCCCAGCCCTGGCCTTCGGAGAATGGTGTCTGGGCGTCTAGAGCGGCACGGGAGGGGAGGTGAAGGATAGGAGAAAATGTTGGCGGCCTGGAGACGTTTATTTGTAGTAGATGGCAATTTGGTGACTAGGGGAGGCTCCAAGTCAATAGAAATTGGAGGACAGATGACACAGTTGACGGGAGAAGGGAATGAGGAAAAGATTGGGGAATAAGAGATGAGAGAAGCAACTCTAGGATAGTGACGGAGGTGGGGAGAATCTGTTAAGGAGGGTTGAGGGAATGACTGAGAGAAAAGAGTAATAGGGAAATAACGAAGGAAAGGTTTGGCAGGAGTAAGAAGATCGTGAGAATTGGATTTTAAAAAAACTGAGAGGAGTAGAGAACATCAGAGACAGGTTTGGAGGAGAGAACGAGGGATCTGAAGCTTCCAGACAGAGTTCTCTGAAGTGTAAGAGGCCGAGTGAGTGAGGGTGTGACTGTGACATTAGGTCTCTTACGGGAGATTGGAGAAAACTTGGATAATAGGCCTAAGAAAAGGTAGAGAACATCCAGGCAGACTGTTCTGAGAAAGCAGGTGTTGATGGCAGAATGCGAAGAGGAAGAGGGCTGAGTTTCGAGGAAGACCATAGACTATAGAGACAGAAATAACTAGGATTGGGGTTTGGTGAATGGAAGCATTGCAGAGGTGAGGTCTGGGAAGCTTAAATACGAAGATTTGGGCTAGGCAGGTAAGATTGAGGGAAGCTGTGTAGTGGTCTAAAACTGAGAATTAGTGAAGCACTGGGAGTAGCCACTCACAGTGTTTTGGGGGAAGAGTTTGGTGGAAATGAAGGAGAGCTGGGTTGAAGAGACAAGCTTGGAAATTTAGAGCCTTGAATGACTTGTGCCAGATAGGGATATTTGCATACACAATTAGTTGAATGTGGACGAGATAGTTTCTGGAAAGCAGAGAAAACAGAATAGGTTTTGAGAAACATTTGAAGTGCTAGGATTCTAGGGATTACTAATTGTAAGGAGAAAGGTGTAGGAGGGATGCTTAGGGATGTCAAGAGGTTTAACTATTTTGTGAATTCTACAGATGGGTTGGTAGTATTCTTGGAGGACAAGAGAGAGAAGCCTTGCCAGGGATTTAGCTCAGTGGTGCTGCCGCCTACCTTGCAAGCGCAAGGACCTGAGTTCAATCCCTGGTACCAAAAAAAAAAAAAGAGAAGCCTTAGGTTCTAAAAAGTAATATGTTAACAATTGATTGCAGAGGAGATGAGGATAGATATGGTATTGTGAAAGCTGATCACAGGAATAAAAAAACCATAAATTTGATTAGTGAGATTGAGAGGTAGCAACATTAGTTAGAAAAATAGGGAGGGAAACTAAGCATCCAACTAAAGACCTGATTGTGACATAGCAGAAAAAAGTAAAAACTTTTGACAGAAGTTAGATCTTTATAAACAGAGGTGGTAGAAGGCCACATACAAGGTAAAATGAAGATTGCTTTGGCTTTAAAAGACAGAAAGTTTGGATTATAACTAGTTATTTGAGAAAATTAACCTGGAGTATAAAATCAATAGCTTTTTTTGTTTTTGTTTTTGTTTTTTGGTACCGGGGATCAAACTCAAGCCCTCACGAACCACTGAGCTAAATCCCCGGCCCGATATAAGTTATTTTTGATATGTGTCTTAGTTGCTGTTTTTCTTAAGCCAACATTTGATGGTCCAGTACAACAAAACTCTTTGATACAAATACAGTATGTGAAAATACTAATTTTTTTATAACTATACATGTTTCAGATAAGTTTAACTAGAGTCAGCTTCTTCATCAAAACGCATTCTCCAAAGATGAATTAAGTTGGGATGGGGGAATACCAAGATAAAGGGAAAATCCACTTATTAGAAGACTCTATGGTTGTTAGTAACTTATCCTTTTAAAACAGATACATTGATCTCTTCAATATTGCTGCTTATACTGGAGAAGAAAGTTCTTTAGGGAAAAAAAGTTCTATAGAAAGATGCTTTTTTATATAGTATGACAGGGTCTCTCACTAATAGTTGAGACTGACTTTTTTTTTTTTTTTGTCCTGGGGATTGAACTCAGGCCCATTGTGCTTTCAAGACAGGCAGCAGAACCACTGAGCCAACTCCCTGGCCCATCTTTATATAGTATGAGGGGAAGAGCAGATGGTGAATATTCTGTGATCTTCAAGTGGCTTATTTTCTTTTTTACTTGCCTTTTGGTAAATTAGTAGGCCTTATTTAAGTCTGATGTTAATGATAATATAGATTCTCTTCTCCCCTCAAATCATAAAGCGAAAAGAGAGCATAGGAATTATCTCATTTTACTACTACACCATATAGTTGAGCAACCGGAGACTTGGAGAATTTTATATTTTGTAAGGTAAATGAAGAGGCTGGGAATAGTTTATCTTAATAATTGTGGAAACTGAGATTCAAATATTCCTGATATTAAGGCTCTCTTAGAAGGTAGGGCCACTAAGGACTGAAACTCGAGTCTGTTGATTCTGATACCTGTTTTTTAGAATCATAGTTGTTATCCTGGGAATACTTAACTTGAGTTGTTTATGTTACTGCTTTATATTCTAGGATTCAGTCTGTTTCCTTAGTCCCAGTTTCAAAGCATCTTTTTTATCCCTCTTGTGGTATTGGAGATTGAACTCAAGGCCTTTGTACTGAGCTATATTTCTAGGCCCCCCTCCTCCCCTTTGAGGCAGGGTCTCATTAAGTGGCTAACTTGCCCAGGCTAGGCTCAAACTTGCCATCCTCCTGCCTTAGCTTCCCAGAGAGCTAGAACAAAACATCTCTGTTTTTTCCTTTTACTCACTTGCTTTTTTCTTATCCCCCCAATCTATCTCTACTCTAGACTTTA